TATATAATAGATTCTTCGACATTTCGATGATTCAGATTCTTATTCATGATAAATTTCCTAAAAATAAATTGTTGTAAATTATTTCAAAAAACCAGTTTAAGAATTACGAATATTATTTGCGACTCATAAAATGACCAATAGTAACTCCGAAAATGTTATTTGTATTTACCAAGACAATTATTACTTTTCAGTATTCCTAACCTAGGATTATTATTCTATTCTGTGATACGGACATCTGTTGTCTCCGTCTTAGAAGTGCTCAACAAGGACAATTTTATGTTCAGCAGATCACGCTTAGCTCCCTTAGTTTACAAATTAGCCTGAATTGACTTGTTATAAAATTTAAGGGTAAGATTAATATATCTAGGACATCACATAGGATTTTTATTACGTTTTAATTTTTAATGCGAGTTATGAGTATTTTAAAGGAGTACAAACAATTCACAATTTTAAAACATTCATAACTAGCTTTGAAATTAAAATATAATAAAATACGTACGATGAGATGCCCTAGATAATAATCTTATATTTAAATTTCACGAGAAGTCAGTTCACTTTAATTGTTAAAATAAGCGAGCTGAATGTGATCTGCTGAACTTAAACTTAAAATTTGGTATGTTGTGCACTTGTAAGACGGACACAACATGTGTCTGTGATGCAGTTTCATTTTAAGTTAGACACTAGAAGTAGAATAATAAGAAGTTGGAAATAACAAGGATACTTGGATATACCTAATACATGATACACATTGTTTTATAGGTATTTTTAAAGTTTTTGTTTCTTCACTATAGGTATATTGGAATTTCATGGTCACTGGTCAGTAGTTTTCTTTTCCTCAACTCGATGGTAATTGATATATATATATATATATACATAGGTACAAGTATACAACTGTACAAGGATACTAATAATATAAAAATTTTCTCTTAGAATTAATTTAGAGATATCAAATATGTACTTATACTTGTATATTGGTATAGGCACATTGTACATACTAACCATAGGTTCCCTGCTGCATGTCTACACATCAAAATATGTGATGCGTGATGACTGATATAACGTTTTATCATTATTCATTGCATTAAAGATTTTTTTTTTCCATATGAACTTCTTTGGTAACAAATACCTACAATTTTTGTATTGTTATTTTATGTTTTAATCGATTTTAATATTTCTTAAAAACACATTTAATTTTATAATAATATGTATGCTTAAATAAATCAATAATACAATAATTACGATAACCATTATAAATTATATGATTATTGATCTCTGAGAAATATGCTGTCTAGTTTCGAATATTATTTTGAGTATTTTCATCTAGATTCCAAATGTTTATTGAAAACCATATGATTAAATAATTATTTTTCAACTATAATATTGTAGCAACGCAAACATTAAACGTTATTGTTACAACAACAGTGATAATGAGTCAAAGGAATTTAATAAAGGTAAATTTACATTTTGAACAATCAAATTAAATGTATATTATCTACCTATATATTGATACATATTTTAATATTAAGTACATATAAGTAATTATATATATCGTTCAAAACTGCATCTAAAGTATGTATGGAAATAGATTAATAAATTAGTTTAATGCATACTTACTTTCATAACATCCAGCTCATAATAATTTTAATTTATTGTAATTTAAGTTTTATTAATAACTATGTTTAGCAATGTGTTCAATGCAATACTATAGTACAGTATATTTTATGAAAATAGTTCTTATAATTTCAACAGTCTCGTGCGAAGGGGCGTAGTAGCTGGTATAATAAATTAATTCCGATAAAAATAAATTCGTTAAAAAAAGTATTTTTTAGAATATCATCCATCCTGAATTGCTATCATAGTATTTACAAAAAAAATTGATATGACACCATATTGTAATTCAGCCAGCGAAGTGTAGATCGGTCAGTAGGTACCTATTCTGCAGTATAGCCTTGTATTTGTGAGAATCGCAGTATGAATATGGATACCTGGAAAGTGTGTCACACAAATTAATAAAGTAATGGTCATGGGTAGTGTGATGATAACGAAGCAGGAAGTTTAGAAATAAAAATAATGCTGTCTTATTAATGGCCGTGTTGTAAATTGAAAACCAAAGAAATGTGTATCAAAAAACGTAAAGTATGGAGGCATTAAAAAAAAGATTGGTCAGCCTACTTTCTAAATGTAAAACATGACGTATAAATTAAATATTGTTCATAAATTAAGCTGGGAACAAATAACTATTATATTAGTATATATAACTATATAAAATTCAATAATATTTACTGTATCAGTGTTCTGTAAATTAGGTCATCTGATATTTTTCAACGATTGAGTAACTTGCGAGACGTAGGTACATATAGTGTAAATATCTATTTATACAATAAAATATTATGTTTTTTTTGAAATTAGTTATAGCAGTAGCCAGTAGGTAGGTATTTAAAACGATTCACTGGAATGTTTAATGGGACGAGACGAATCCGATTGTATATTTAATTAAAATACGCCAAACTGAAACCCCAATTAGTAATTATTAAGACGCGTAGAATATGTGTTCCGTCGTTCCTAAAACGATAATCTATTTTTTTTTAATATTTACATTTTAACGGCGATAAAAAGGAATACAATAATAATTCATGACATTTAACCTACTGCGTGCACAAAGTGTGCGATTAGTAAATTAGCTTCCTTCTACTTATTAGATGTTTAGATGTCATCATTATACGATGGGCATAATATATATATGTGTTTTTTCTTTTTCGTTTTGTAGCGATTGTATTTCGATAACAAATATTTGCGAGCTTTAAAAAATCGAATGAAATGTCATCTGCATATTTTAGTGAAATGCGGGCATCGTTATTTTAAAATGTTTTTCTGCCATAAAGTCTCACAAAAACCACGTTGAGGTCCGTCGGTTTTAAATAGTTATTACTTATTATAAATACCGTAGCTCAACCTTCGCAAGGACCGACGTGGATGTTAAATAATAAGTAATAACACGAACACGTCAAACCGAGGGGGGCGTTGTCCGTCCACTGCACCTCCGCAATCTCGCCCATAGCCATTACGATAATACGACATTAACACGGCCGGTTATTATATAATATAATAATATAATATTCTTATGAAATGACCAGTGATGTGTGTGTGTGTGTGTACACACAGTTCGTTCGTCGAGCGGCTGTGTGTCGTTTGGTGAAGAGAAAAAAATAAACCACCTGGAAAACGACACGATAATATATTATAAATAAATATCGTTAATCTACTTATAATAATATATAATATTATGATGTATAACAAAATCTGCCGTTTACGAGCCATATAATATACGCTTACGGTACGACAATGGCCGGTGTCCCGTAATACTCCATAGTAATAATAAGGTCGGAGACAATTATCTATAGCGTGAACCCGACGACGATTCGGCGGGACCAGAAGACGACGACGATAAATAATAATAATAATAATAATAATAATAATAAGTGGAGGCGTGTGTGCGAGCGGACATTGCTGCAGCAGTAGATCAATTATTATTGTTGTTGTACGACCACGTCACGACAATATCACGACGTAGGTGGACAAATTATTACGACAGTAGGCGGTGCGTTGAACTCGTTTGAACTATTATTATAATATTATATGTCTTGGGCGCGATTGACCGTGTGCGACGGCTATCCGCGATATGACGAATTTCGATATAATACATGTTTAAACGTTAACGTATCATGTCGTTATGATTAATATGATACTGTTCACGATCCGCAGGAAATAGGAATAAACCTATATAATTTAATGATATTACACACTTCGTAAGAGATACGACTTTAATTACTATTGACGTGGGATACATATTTTAATCGGTCGATTAAAATATATTTATTTGATAAGCCGAGACTTTGCTTCGCCATTTAACTATATTACAAGGTGGGTAAACGTCTTCCGTCCAGACCTGTTGCACACGTTTTTACGTTAGTGCGTCCAATAGATAATAATAATTTAGCCTATATAGGTATATATAATATACTACATATATTGAGATGCCAAATGAACAGGTAGTCAATTATAGTCATGATAGGTATAGGTTTTAAAGGAAAACGTGGAATTGGTTCCCGAAAAAAACACTTTCCGGTATACAACTGTTCGAATTGGTTCCCGAATAAAATTACTCGTCGGTTTATCGGATTACCTTTATTGCCTCCTGATATAATACAAAGCGTTTGTGTTGAGTTTGATGGCTATAAAACCTGTACATGGAAAACTTGATACATTTTTTGATTATGTACTTGAAAATTATTATATTGATAAATGGGAAGGGATAATGTTGCTGGTTGAATATATCATAATAATTTGAAAAGTTAATTTAACAAGACTGAATTATTATCACGAAAGCTTGCGGGAACCAATTCGTATGTTACATGACACCTGTAGACAACCCGGGAACCAATTCGACAATTGGGATTTGGGAACCAACTCGTAGTCGTCCGTTTCAACACAATCCCGCAGTATCTACCTATAAGGCAATAACTTGTTCTTAATCCTAAATGATATAATAAAAACAGATTTTGCACGATTTTACCATATTTTAATGTAAATTTCCGACTTCAATTTAAAGTTATAATTTCCATGATTTGTATTATTTTTTGTTCTAAAAATATTGCGCTGATGCTGTTTTTTTTTATAGAATTATAGGAATAGAGGACCATACTCATCAATTGCATTGTGCGTTATTACGAATTTCTGATTTTGTTTCCTTACCTATTTACCTATATATTATATTTTATTGTTGTAATGATATGCTCACACATCATTGTAACAATTATTTAAGATATAACAAATAAATAAATAACGGCCAGACTGTCACACGTAGAAATCGGAAATATCTAGAACCCAAAAAATAATTGTCACAGACAAAATTGTCTAATTATATTATACGATCAGGGATTAAGAAATCGACACGTACCTATGTTTGCAACTGTAGAGCGTAGGACGTGTGGCTTTCTTACATGCCGCCGGAGAAAAGGTATGGTAAAAAAGGTCCTTGTCACAGAAGAGAAATCGGATGTACAAAACAACCTTTTGATGAAGCCGCCTATCACTCTCTGGCCGGCACAACCGGATCGTCCCTTCAGCAGTGCATGAGCACCTTCCTCGAGTGAAACAGCCTCTCGCGAGTGCAGGCGCACCGCGAAAACAGATTAACAACCTCTCTATACCGAATTCTACGAGCGACAACTGGACTCCTTTTGACGAGCAATAATCAGTGTGTTTCTTTATTTTTATTCGAGTATTTTAAATAATTAATTTGTGTCACCTAAAACTCCTACTGCATAACCCAGAGACAGCTGCGAGTCAGGTAAGACATAATACATATTAAAATATAAAATATAGTATTGTTGACTGCATTATATTAAATTATATGTGCATGCATCTACATCTACACCATAGAAGTGTATTTGATCAAATTCTCGAACACACGATCTCGAGAACCCTCCGACGATCAGGAGGAAGGTAGTAACGTAAATTTAGATCATCTTGAATATTAGTGTCGGCAGGCGTCGTACTAACATTTACGGTGATCGTCTATAATTTTATTTTATTCTTTTAATTTATTTTATTCTTTTATTTTTGCGTTATTACATTGTTATTTGTCAATTTTTACAGTCACTATTTTATTATTAGGAAGGTATATTTTATTGATACTATCTTATTTGTTATTCCAGGTATAAATTTGTTTTTGTTGAGTAATACTCTTAGCATGTTATGCCATAACTTACAATCTTATTATATCGATTAATAACTTGTAACGCTGAACTATCACTTTCACACAGCGTAATATTTGGTTCAGAAGTGACCAATCTTTTATCCAGTTATAATTGTGATTTTTTTTAGGTTTATTGTTTAAATTTATAATGGTTGGGAAAACTTAATTAATTAATGTTTTAAAAATAATAGACATCTAATACCTATCTGCAGTGGTATTCAGTGATTGCGTACAGCGTACATTTAGGTATATACCATACAACAAAAACATAACTGAAAAGTGTGCAAAATCAATTGATTATAAAAAGTCTGTTTCGTTTAGTTATGCGAGCCTTGGATTTTTTGTTCCAATAATAGTAAAACAAATAATAAATCTTGTTGAATTTTGTACAGTCGGCACCAGAAGATGATTACGTTTCTTTCATGGTCTATCTGCGAACAAACGGTGTCTGGAAATCCGTGAGCGACGTGTTCAGGATGTTAAACGAAACTAGGCCCAAAGATCCGATCGGGTAAATTATAATATATATATTTTTGTTTTTTTAAAGGAACGTAGGTACCTCGTACCTATATGGTATTAAGCTATTATCTAGAGTCAAGGTCGTGGGAGTATTTTATTTTATTCTTTTTGGTAGTCTTTTCCGATCGATGTTTTCAGAAATGACCTACGTTTTCCTCTTCGACACCTGTTACAATAGGTTTTTCAAGGCGAATGTAAAGATCAATAACATCGACAGCAGAGCCATCGAAAAAACTCGTCGAGAAATCGCAGAAGCCGAGGAAAAGCTAAAGATTCTAAGACACGACAAACTTGTGTTGACGGCTAATTTAGATTTACTGGACAAGAGAATTCGTCTGAACCGAGAACCAAATTCGGGCGTCGTCGGGAGCACAGCGGTCGTGGAGGACAACAACGAAATGATTTCCGAAATGCTCTCTCATTCCGATCACGTATAGGTGCGACGGACGAGTACAAAATATAGCTGTGACGACGTACTTAGAACAAACGGACTAAGAAAATAAAAAATTACTGTCCACGCGTGCAGCAACGATTCGTATCGGTCGTACTACTTAATAGACTATACCTATTATATTATTATACAGTTATTATTATTGTTTATTATATTATATTTTGATGATAAACTCGCGCTCAGTCCTAATATAGGTATGACGGTCGGTTGTTCACACTTGCCTTCACGACGATTTTATATATTCATCAGGTGGCCGTTACATAACTATAGCTATATGTAGTAGTACCTACCTACAATGTACGTTTTTTTCTCGTACTGACGCCATAAATACACGTAGATCACTTCATTTCAATGGCATCCGCATCCGAATTTATTACACCGTCCATCCTTACCTACGCAGGAAGTACCTATACAATAATAATAATATCATAATGTGATACCTATCGAGTAGTGACTACAGTGACATTGTTTCACATGTATACTATGTCCTACCTACAACGTATAATTTATTGGAGCGATTTTTCAAGGAATAACATTTTTTTTATTGTCCATCATCTTCTTTCCGATGTCGATTTTGATGAATAAAGAATTAATAATAATGCGATTGTTCTTATTACTATAATATTATAATTGGTACATGCGAGTTTCGTGTATTTAAAATATATTAGCATTAATTATGTTATTATTAATAGCATTTTAAACAATAAGGAACGCGTTGCATCTTCGAGAATGACCATTCGATATTCATTTATAACATCGTATATAAGCACTTGCGTTAACAATACCTATGTGCAATATTGAAATTTGAAATGCACTTCGTAAAGTAAAACTGCAGTACCTGCGTCGTTGTAGCGGCAATATATTTAGTATAGGTATTTTGAAATTGTTCAAGATAATAAGTGTTAATTAATTCACCATAACAGCTGATTAGATTACAGACATTCAATTTTAATTCAAATTCAAAGATGAATAATAATAGGCGGATACCAGACTTTCATAATTTCTAGGGTATAATTAAAAACAATAAAAACTGTACGTAATTACTAATTGTCGTAATTAAGTATGCGATGCCTATAGTTATATTAAGTAGGTACGTACTATATATAGTGTGAATTTACTTTGTGAAAAATAAAGAGTTAATGGAGTTTTTTTAGAATTAATAACTACAGTATTTTGTGTGGTATCATTTTCATATTCAGTCTCACGTCTATGTATAATAACGGTATGTAAAAGAAAATCAAGCTTTATCAAATTTAATAGGTAGGTATAGGTGCGCAGTTACAAGTTAATATCAAAAACAGAAATAGTTGATAACAGTTACTTAAATTTAAAAAGAAAAAATCGGGACATTAAAATAAAAAATATAATATCCGTAATTGTTCAGGTATTCACCCGTCCTAATTAGGTATCGGCAATGGATGTGTGAACTTACGATGGATGATTCTTTTCTCAATAGGTATTTATCTATAAAATCTATAGTCTACATTTTTTATTGACTTCGAATTTTCAAGATAAACATCATTGAGTCCGAGTGTTTTGATTATCAAATTAATTAAGGAATATATAAAGGTTATACGTATTTTATAATTTCCTAAAATTAACATTTATAGTTACCTATATCTACCAATGTATAATAGTAGATTGTTTCAAGGTAAAAAAATTATACGAATTGAAAGTATAACAATTTACGATTATAATATACCTTGCACATTTATATATATGTATCAAATCGAATGCCTTTTGTGATATTTTATAATGTAATAATTACAGTTCATTCGGAATCGTGTTGAGGACAATCTAATTTGCAGATTTATGTGTCTTATCAGAGATTTATTTAACGCATGAATTGAAATCATTGCTATGTTTTATATAAGTGTTTGGGTGTTCACGATTTCACGAAAATAGTTTTCTTTTGTTATAAAATTATTACAACAGTATATATAGGTAGATGTTAACGAATATAGGACTTTCGTTACTACAATTATTATGGTCGAGTAGTAGGTAGTGAATACCTACTTTAAAATATAGGTATATGATCGTTAATGTTATGAGATACAACAAATTCATCTCAGCTAGACGTCTAGGTACTTAAAGTTTCGACCGGCTTGATTTATATTCGTGGCCCTGCGATAAATTAAATATTAATTTATTTTTACTCGTGGTTGAACTAAGACAGAAAGTACTCCGTTCACTGCGATATTAATAATACTTTAATGTCCAACAGACAATAATATTTTTGAAATAAGTTTTCGAAAATTAGTAAAAATGAAAACACAAATCTGTGAATTAACTTATGTTTAAACGTCATTTAAAATGAATAAATATATTCTATACTTTAAAAGTAAACAATTTATAGGTTCATAAGCATCACAACCTAATGAATATGTCTTGATGTAAGGGCAACGAGTTTTTATTAAAAATATTGAACTAATTAATAAAAGTTGAGACCAACGCATAGTAATGCGTAAACAATGAGAAATAATAGGTAGGTATATGCTGTTTTTCACGAACCACTTTATAATACTACCAATTCAAATTGTATTTCAAAGAAAATATAATATTTTATACTGGTACTAATTAAAAAGTAAGTACCTATGACTTATGTAGCAGAATTTATTATGACACCACAGCTGTAAAATATAAAACCGTCGTTGCAGGTATCTTAAAAAAAAAAAAATGTTTATTAGTTAAAGAGTTGATTTAAAAAAGATAGGTAGGTACCTACTCAAGTACATATATAGGTATCTACTTATCGTATAGGTACTATAGTACACTTAAGTATGAACCATCGTTACCTGGTACCTAAAGGTTGAAAACGAGTAGAACACAATATATATTGAGATAGTCGTAACGAATACGGAAATATTGGTGACTTTCTCTTAGTTATTCAGATACCAATCGGACGACTTATCATATATAGGTAATGCTAATTTATAGACTAAGTGTTTATTTTATACAGACACTGTGACTGTGGTCTGTGACACGTGACATTATTGTTTAAATGTCCACCAGCTAATGAAAATTAAAGTTCAATTCCAGAGCTCTCGTGCGGTGAACCGTTGGCTGTTTAAATCAATAATTATTATCATGATATATGCAGAAATATATTAGATCATAATATTAACCTTATGCAGCGTTGCATAATTTCGCGTTACGTTCATTTGAAATTTGCCGACGATCTATATTATAATCTTTCTTGTTTCTGTGTATATATGTTGTTTTATACATTATATTATTAGATACTGCTTACCAGCTATGGGCTACATATTCAATGCACGACCGAGCTCGTACGATCGTAGGTGGGCATAACACGACCGGACAAGATACACTTAGTTCGAAAAATATTTCATCAAGGTCTATTGCAATGATGATTTATAAAAAAATTACACACCGTTTTTTTTTCCATTATGAAATATAGCTATTAGCTGAACCATAATGACGTATACAATACACTGGACTGCATAATATAATATGACGTATAATACCTATACGCGTGTATTATGTACACACGTGACTGTAAACATCATAAAGCACCCGTGTGATTAAATCGGTTTTTCATTTTAGCTGATCGATATCGCATGGAACAATTTTCAAATGTTGATTCCACCTGGTAATTAATGACGATTAGAACAAATATTTTGGGTCGTATTTTATGGTGATTCTAAAAGTAATAAGATATACTATTACTAGTTATTAAAACTATAATAATGGATAAAATTAGGGCTCGGATTTATATGTGTTTATATTTTGTACAACCAAAGTATGTATTAATATACAACAAAACCATGTTCATAAATATGTGCTAAAAGGTTCAAAATATGTATTATCAAAAAAAAAAAAAAAATATGACTAATTATATAATTAAATTAAAATGTAATAAAAAAATGATTATATTTATCTAATCATCCAGATATATTGCAATTTATTACAACATGCATTTTTAAATTTTCAAATTCAAAGAAATACCTACTCGTAAAATTGATTTGTACCGTATTTATACGTACCTATAGCCACGTCAAAAATATGTTCGGTGGATACCGCCGAAATTATATACTGCACAAGTCGTATTACTTGTGATAAGCTTTCAATCACTCCTGACTCCGAAGAAAAAACGTCAAACAGTAAAATTGTCTAAATATGTGAGAAATAATTGAATAATTTATTGTGAAATATGTAAAAAAAATGAGAAATCAAATGTAGTTCAATTTGTCAAACATTTAGTGAAACAACTTTGTCACTTGTGAGATTAGATCATGTCATATCGAAAATATGTATTTACATATAAATCCCCGAGCCTTAGTTACGATGTATAAATATTATATGTGTGGGGTGTATTCTTAAGGGTCGTATTTAAATGACGAATATATTGTTATTATTTCACATAACCTGTGGTTATATTGTAGCTCTTTAATTGTACGTTGTAGCCCTGTATGTTTGATTCCTTTTTAACGATTGATGAAACAAAATAATGAACTCCATTTGGTTTTTCCAGGAAGTTTATTTCTTCGGAGTCGCTTAGGTACCTACTAGTATGCAATAAGACACCATAAATATTGATGCACGTGTTTATAAATCGCAAATATCGATATGTAGCTATAAGTACCTACGACGTTACAAACATCTTTTATACCGCGACTTTTTTAAATCAGTCACTTTTGAACCATTTTTAAAGTAAATAGCGATGGATTGCTAGAATTTATGTTACCAATTGTATGGCTGTATATGTATAGTTATTTTATTTTTATTATCTATCGGCTGTGTACTTTTGTTCAGAGAAAATGATATATAGGTAAGACATATAAGAGACAGTGAGATGGTGTATACATAACTCTACCCTGTCGATACTTATCGAATTTTTTTTCTCGACAAAAATTTGAAAAAAAACCTGATAAAATAAAGCCGGATTCACAGCCACGTCGTGTTGATCAAATCGCATTGTGATACCAAGTTGCAACCAAGCATACCAAGAATCGACTTAATCTCAACTCTTATGCTATATTGGTAACCAGATATAACCATAAAGTTATACACGACACGACACACGACGTAACTGTGAATCCGGCTTAAGAGTTAAGATATTTAGAAAATTGTACGTTGTAAATGGTAGATGGTTATAAGTACCTATAGAAAATGATAAAATTAATTTTTAATGAAAATTGTAATTTGTAGGAATGTATGGTTTATTGTTATTGAGTACAGTTATCTACTCGAGTACATAACCGTGTTATTGAGTTACGTCAAAGTTCAAAAGCACAAAATCAATTTTGTCAAAAACTGATTTTGCTTAAAAATTTCCGTTTTCTCTTATTTTTTTTTTTGTTATTCCCGACCCTTTTGAAAATTACTGAGAACATTTTAGTTTTGAACCTTCAAAGTATCAACTAGATTTACCTTTTTACAATCATCTTACCAGATAAAATGCTGAAGTTGAAAAATTGGAAAATTTTGTCTACCTCAAAAGATGATGGCCATTTTAATTACTTTTCTATGTTGATGGTAGAAAACAAAAATACATCACTATAAAATTAAAATCAATACTTTGATCGCTCAATGCTCATTGTGTATAGGTACATTTTTAGATTTTATAATAATGCGTGTTATATTATTTATAATTTTTTTTGCATGTGTATATACGATAAGTAGTCGGAATAATGCTTCGATTTTCAACTTCAGTTGCCTATCCAGTGGAAAATTGCAATTTAGCTGGTGCATGCTAGAGGTCAAAGTATAAAATTCATAGTAGTTTTCAAAACTGCAGGGAAAAACAAAAAAAAAATGGAGAAAATTGAGTTTTCGGCAAAACAGATTTTGGTTTTTGCTTCAACACTAAAAAATATGATACATATAGATAGATACATGAAACTTTTACTGAATGTACTATAACCTTATATGTGAGCCTGGAGTGAATATTTTGACAAAATCAAGAAAATGTACAAATTATTTTGAGTTGAAAATTTATTTAAAATTTTCTTTTTGTATCTATTATAATATTTTACAAAAGTCCTCTTAAGTTAGTTTGGCTTAAACAAGAAAGAAAATGTTTATCTAAAAGTTAACTTAATTTTTTATAAGTGATTGATGTTCAAATGTTTACGACATTGGTTAATCTGTTATCTTTTTATTATAAATGCATTTTATTCATTGGATCAAAAAGTTTAAAAATGTGACACAAGTATCCTCACACATTGTTACAATAATAGTTTAAAAATACACAGGCAAGTTTTTTTTTTAGAAGAATTTAAAGAACAGATGTCTACAAAATTGATCAAAATGAAAATGTACAAATTATTTTGTAGTTAAAAATGTATAAAATGTTCAATTTTTCAACTAAGGATTGAAATTGTAAAACAAAATTACACCACAAAGTTCGTTCTGCAAAAAAAAAAAAATCTAATAAAAATATTGCTAAGTGATCGTAGAAACTTTTTGTTACAATATTAGTTATCCAGTTCAAGGTTTTATATTCCTCAGGGATAAATTTTCTGTAGTTGGGAATTAAAGCACTGTGTATTTGAAGTTTTTTTAATAATAAGACACGTTTGGTTTATAAATCTATAGTAATTATTATATTTAAAATAGTACTTTACTGTCTTGGAAAATGGCTGTTAACAAGTGTATATATAGGCGATTTCGATGGTGTTGATGATTTTCGTCAAAGTAATTGCCGTGTCATTATGTCACGTTGCCACCTTCTATTTTTTTTTTTTTTTAATTATTGATTGTAATGATTTCCTGTTTAATTTTTGAATATTTCCATTAAATTCTTGATCTTCAGATCTAATAGGCATGATTTACAATGACAACACTTTAGAACTGTGTAAGTGTAATATATAATTTTACCTAAAAGTCATTGCGTCTAATATTGATTTTTTGTAAATAGGTATAGGTAACTAATATTTAAATTAGATTAAAGTACCTTGATTCTCATATCAAGACTTGAAAGAATCTGATTTTCAAGAGTTATAATATTAGTAAGTTGTCTTTTAAATTACATGCTTTCTTTTTGTTCGTTCCATAAATAAATCTGTAAGCTTAATCTAAATCTGTGCTTAAATATTTGAAATGCTCGTTATAACTATTATAGTTTCAAGCAAAGCATGGATGGATGCTCCCTATCCTTGGAATTTTTTTTTGTGCTGTTTTAATTACGGTTATACTTATATAGCCTTTATAGACATTACAATAATATATAGTTAATAAATACCGCCCTTCCTTGATTGAGCTCCAGCTACACTATGACATCAAAACTGTGTTGGCGCTGCCTGATAAAATTTAAATATTTAAATTTGTTTATTTATTTTTGCTATCCATGAAATATGCAATATTTAATGCTTACCTACTACACATTGTGAATATTTATTTGAATTGATTAAATGCCACATAAAATACCTGATGAACACAATTTCAGGCAGGTATTAAAAGGCTTAATGTTAAATCTTTACAGAAGTAAAATTGTCTTAACTTTAGATGTTAAGTTCAAATACAATTGTAAATTTATAAATATTTATAGGTACAGAAGGCAAAACATACATAGAAGAGTGTTAAAGAAAACACATTTAAATGATTGAAATGAGAGAAGGCATTTGCACAAAAAATATGAAGATAGGAAGGAATAGATGTCCAAGTGTATATGTTAATATCAGCTCAAAAATAATTTTAATAATACTCAACATTTATCAATATATTTTCATAAACTACTAACTAATCCATGGACACTATGAGATAATTTAAATATACAGATTTATTAGAATTTAAAACTTCAGAAATAATAAATAGGCAGCCCATGCATGTTGATTTACTGGTAATATGAAATAGTAAATACATTTATTATTAAGTCAATGTCTTTGAGTTGGTATAAATTTAACTAATATTTAATAAATGCTTAAAAAAAATTTATAATTTATTAAAGACTTTCAAAGTAATATTATATTTAATAAATAGAATAATTGAAAATTAAACTAGTTGATGTCACAAGGCAGTGAAAAATTCATATTTACAATAAGATTTTTTTTCTCTGAATTATCAGACTTTAGTTTAATTCTTAGATAAGGTCCATGGTCGTGTAACTATTCTATCTAGGTGGAAAAAATATTAATTGGACGTATGAAAATTAGGAGTTGATGTAAAAGTATATTTTTATTTATTTATATTATAAAATAATGGGCTGTGGCCCTGCAAAGTACACAGCAAAATATGTATAATTACAAGAAAAATATGAACTCTTAACAAAAGTTTTTTATAATTTTGTATTATTAGTTATTAAAAACAGCATATAAAGTTATGCGTTGTTAAGTATTTAATTACTTCTATAAGCTAATTTTATCCATTAATTTTATAAATTAAACTGAAATAACACAAAAATAAGATAAATATAAATGAGACTCCTGCCTATAATTATACTAAAATCAGATACTAACTTTAAGTATCTATATTCTGTATGATTCTCTAGACTTATAAGTGCTGGAGAATAATAGTCGAGGCGTTATTTATCTGTCTGTTACATTTTATTTAATTGCTGAAAATGATGTATGAGAATATCATTACAAAATTCATAGGTTAATAGAAAATGGGTGACAAGGACAATTACAGTGACATGTACAATCTCATAATTTAAATGATTTTTTCCTAGTAAATTCTGTGTATCATTAATAAATTAAGGTTTTTTTCTGGTATGTGTTTTTGTATGCCTTGATAAATCTGATAATTTATAAAACCGTTTCTCACAGACATCACATTTATATGGCTTTTCACCAGTATGTGTAATTTTGTGAATTTTCACATTTGATGCCCTAGAAAAGGCTAGATCACAAATATTACATTTATAAGGTTTTTCACCGGTATGTGTCTTTGTATGCCTTGTTAAATCTGATGATTTAGTAAACCGTTTTTCACAAATATCACATTTATATGGCTTTTCACCAGTATGTGTAATTTTGTGAATTTTCATATTTGATGCCCTAGAAAAAGCTACATCACAAATATCACATTTATAAGGCTTTTCGCCAGTATGTGTCTTTGCATGCCTTGTTAAATCTGTTGATTTAGAAAATCGTTTCTCACAAATATCACATTTATACGGCTTTTCACCAGTATGTTTAATTTTATGGTATTTTAAATTTGATGGCCAAGAAAAGGCTAGACCACAGATGTCACATTCATGCAGTTTTCCTCCGTTATGCGTCCTTGTATGGGTTATCAAGTTTTTTTTCTTATAAAAAGTTAAATCACAGATTTTGCATTTATATAGCTTTAGACCTGTATGTTTCTTTGTATGAATTTGTAAAGAGTCTGCACGAGAATACGACTGATCACAGGCATCACATTTATATGGCTTTTCGCCAGTGTGTATCCTTGTATGCCTTGTTAAGATTGATAATTTAGAGAACCCCTTACCACATGTATTACATATATATGGCTTTTCATCGGTATGTGTCTTTGTATTAATTGTGTCAATTAAATTGGATGCAGTAGCTAGTTTATTACAGTTATCAGTCACTGGATTTTTCCTTAAACAGTTAGGTGTAAAGTCTGAATCCATATGTGTACAACTAATGAATTCTGAAGAATTGCATATGTTGACTACTGTTCCTTCAAACTTATTATCATCAATAAAATCTATTTCTACTTTAATTTTGGCATCAATTCTATTTTCTTCAGTTTTAATTCTAAAAAAAAAAAATAGGTATTTAAAAAACGTTAATCTTTATCAAATAAAGGATAATGAATATAACTACTTATTATGTATATTTTAATAATACATTTGATAATTAATGTTTATATATCATACTCCAATTTATATGTTCAAAATATTATACCAAAGGTACATCTGGACTAAAGCATTTATATTTATATAGTACTATACATAAATAATTAAGAATTAGAAATTTTATTTTTATATCTAATATTAAAAATTATAATACTACTAGATTAATTACACAGACAATTTTTTTTATCAAAATCAGTTCAGCCCTTTAGATAGACATAAAGGACAGACAGACAGACATTCATTTATAAATATATATATATAAATACATATAGATGAATAAGATGTGTGATAGGCACAATGATTTTATATTGTAGAATTCAAGTATGATACGTAAATTAGTGACCCACATGCCAAACCATTTTATTTATTAATTTTTATAAACTATCTTTTTATAAGTGACAACTGACAACACATGTGTCAAATTTAATAGTACATTATGATATAAGTAAATTGAATTCATACCCTATTTTAAATAATTGATTATCATTTTTAAGGTCTTCTATAGTTTCCTCTTTAATAATTCCATTAAATACTTGATCACCAACAATTTCCTGTTTAATAGTTTCATTAACTTCTCGCTTATCAATAATTTCCTGTTTAATAATTTCTTTAAATTCTTGACCACCACATGTCACATTAAGTGGGAATGGCATCATTCTAGAACTATGTGATATATAATCATCATAATAAAATTAAGCAAAATAAAAATTGTATCATAAAGTTTCATATTATACTATGAAGACAATTTAATTCATACCTTTTTTGTAATAATTGATTATCATTGTTTTGGTATGTTTCATCAATGATTTCCTCCTTAATAATTCCATTAATTACATGATCATCACATCCAATAAGAGGGATTGACAACACTCTAGGACAGTATGTGTTATCATTATACCTAAAAGAAATTGCAAAAAAAAAATGGTTTTTTATTAATAGCTACTTTATAACTTACTAATGTACAAATGTATTCACATTTGATATATAAATTATCAAAATACCCAGTTACATAAAACAAAATTATAATGTAAGCGTCGTCCAAGTTTAGATGAGCTGGATTTGTTAGGTACTGACAAAAAATTAAAAAACACACTTCTTCAGGTTACACAATTTATTATTTTATACGAAACGTCTTGCATCGCGGTCGACCGGGTAACTAACGTCCCTCTTCCGCTCGTAGACGCACTGGACGGGTGCGTTGTACAATATCACCATTATCTTATAATCTTATCAGATTAAGATTACTACATAAGTATAATGTATGTGCTTGAGTGGAATAATGAATTATGTTTGCCAACAATTTTGTAAGCATTTATCCCGAACATTTTTTTAGGAGCGTCTCATTAAAGTCCAAATTTTAGTGTATAAAAAGATACTTGAAAGAAAAAATTATTCAGCCTTTGTAAATTATATTTATAATAATTATAAATAAGGTATTATTATTCAAACTATACTAATGTATTTACTTAACTTTAGAGTACCATAGATCATAAACTAGTGAACCAAAATTGATGATCATACTATCAACATTTTCAGAAAAAAAAGATTACAAAAATCCATTAAAAAATTTAGTTACCATTTGAAAAATAAAGTTGATTTTGCTATTGATTCAACTGCCTGTTCAAAAATGTTGAAATTGTTATAAAAATTTGCCTATTAAAAATAAAGAAACATGTCTTTTTTTGTTTTTTCAAAATCTCATCTCATAATCGTTAAAAAAACACCGTGAACAATGAAATAAGATATACATTATACCCTGTATACTGAGTGTCCTGTGAGGAAATACCCATTAGCCATAAAGGGGTACTCATCGACTAATTTTTCAGAAAAATATCAATTTTACAAAATGGATGTCTTCGATTGCTTCAAAAATAAAAACAAAAATTATTTCTAAACTTTTTTACAAAAATTCTTACCCTATTTGAAATAATTGACCATCATGATCTATTTCTTCAATAAATTCTTCTTTCTTAATTCCATTAAATTCTTGATTATCAATATTTTCCTGTTTAATAATTCCAGTAACATCACAAGGAAGAGTTGTTGTTCTTAATGGTTCCATATTCAATTATGTCCTCTTTATTTGTTATTCAATTAGGTACTGCGAACATGAACGATTACAATTAAGTACCTTTTATGTCAAAGCTTTCATCTGATGGTAATAAGGGTTTGTTGGGTGTGCATTTCCACATAATTTTTTTGTAAAACTTTTTCATTGGACTGCCATAAATAAAATGAAAAAACTGATACATCTTTACAAAACAAATATTTAATCAGTATATGTATAGTATATAGCAACTGTAGTACATTGGCAAGAAATTTGTCAGTGCAAACACGAGTGCAATTGTCCCTCACCAAGGTTAGGTATATCAGGTATAGCTGAGCTATAACAATATGTTCAGGGCGTTTTTTCACCCTGGTTATAGTAAATGAATTTCTATCAGAAAATAAAAAGTTGAGATATGAAGAAATATGATGTTCTGAGAAATGTATAATTTAGTTATAATTTAACCTTCATAATTTGAGGAGAACAAAGATTATCGCTATAAAATGTTGTCGATAATCGTTAAATAGAATGGATATTTTTACTAAATGTATGATTAAATACGTTTCATTATAAACCTACACAGAAAACATTGAGTTCAATCTTATGTATTTAATTAATGAATTCAAAAATTGATATGAAATTCTTGTTTTTTTTATTCAAATTTATTAACTTAAACTATATTCTATTTTTTATATAATATAATAAATTATTTGTACATTGCAAACAAAAATGGTATTTTCTACCATCATATAATAATTGTAATATCTTTTCTGTGCATATATATTTAATTGTAAAGGGCTCAGCCCGTAAATTCTTAATAAATAAATAAATAAAAACAAACTTTGGTTGTATACAAATATACAATTAAAAATGAATTCATATATGTGTTTGCTCATCTCTTTAAAGCAGTGATCAGAAGTAGCGCACTAATTGTTTGTTATGATTCATACCGCCACAATGTACACAATGTAGCAAATTACTATAACATGCTAGAAATGTACGGTAAGCGTAGCAAATTTAATTCATTTAATCAATAGCGTTAGAAATAGAGCACAACGTTATAAATAAGTAGCAACAGCGAGTTAATTTTTTGAGGGGAGTAATAGAAGCGTTAGCAGAAAAAAAAATATTATCCCTACCACTGCTTTTAATTAACGCTTGTACTAGAGATCAGGACATCACATCAACATTATTACATACTTTGATTATATTTTAGATTAAAAACCTACATAAAAAACATTCGAGTTCAGTATTCAATTTTGATTTATCTACTATAAAGTGTTACTGTTAATAAGAGAATATGTTAATATTCATTACAAGTTACGGTGTAAGTGCTGAACGCTGAAGTGCTGCAAGATATTTGGATTTTAAGTCAATTGTATTTTGTTGTCAAGACATCCATTATCATACATCATTGCGACATGTTTGCTCGCGGCTCGTAATTAATGCTGTTGTTGTACTAAAGAACAATATACGTTATACAAAGTTCTTCTTGTCTAGTAGTAAACGCACGGAATAAGACGCAGAGAGGCAGAGAATAAGGTTATGGATACTAATTAGTAGTTAATGCCACCTCATAGTCGTTCGCGAGAGCAAAATCTAGATATTATCCATACACGACATAGAAAAGGGATATAATATAATAGAACAGTGTATACCTCTTAGCTCAATAAGTATAGATCGAACATCGAACTTTCAAATTCGAACTGGATATTGGATAACGTAACTGATAATTGTTGAAGCCAGAATAATCTAGAGCCTTGACTGTTTGTGCGCATGCGTGTATTCTGATTGGTTAATCTCTTATCTAGTAAATTATCAAGAAAAATATTATGATATTTTGGGTCTTGTGATTACTGCCTTATCAAATGTGATTAGGGGGCAATCAATGTACAGGGAACAGCCCGGTACTGAAGCTGCTGTCTTCTCTGCTGAGTTTTGTTTCACGTTCACACTTTCACATGCACCTAGACAGGTTGTTTAGAGAAACTTTTGAACTTGTGAGACTCCCTACACCTATTATATTTTTATATAATTTGTTTAAATTTAAATAAAAATAATAATAATAACTTTTTGGTGGATATTTGTTTAGATGCTACCACCTTCTTGTCCATAGTAAGCTAGATATTTTATAGAAAAATCTAATAATGTCACTTAAGGAAGTGTTTAAGCCTAAAAGCTTGAAGATCTCAACCACGTTTATTGATGCTGATGGGAGGGAAAAACAGGTACACATAATAATGCAAACAAATTTTTTCTATTGAACAAAATAAACTTAGTTTAGATGATATCTCATCATTTTTGATATTGTCTGTAAAATTTTCAGATTGAAACTAGGGAAGATGAAGAGCAGTCACAGAAACTGCAAGAAATTATAGATCTGTTAATTGCAGCCGGATATTTTCGTGCTAGAATTAAAGGCTTATCTCCATTTGACAAGGTTTGACTGATAAATATTATTTTTTTATATTTCACTACGTTTAATATATTCATGTTTATATAGATAATTGGAGGTCTTACATGGTGCATAGATAATTGTAATGTTGACTTGGACATTAATCTGCATTTTGATGAATCCTTAGTCATTGGTCAAAAAATGTAAGTTTTCACCTTATTTTAATTTTGATTTGTAAATACTCTGTACTCTGTAATTAAAAATGTAAATTATTTTTATTAGAGCACTTACAGAAAAAATTGTGTCTGTCCTACCTAAAATGAAGTGTCCGTACCAGATTGAGCCTCATCAAATACAGGGTCTTGATTTTATCCATGTCTTTCCAGTTGTTCAAGTAATTGCTATTGATTATTGAATAATATGTGTTATTACTCTAATAATCTCTAAGAATCATTATTAAAATGTTGACTGCCATGTGACCGCTGGCGGTCACTCAATATGTATTTTCGATAAGCCAAGCCTATTTTTCAGTGCCATTCTAAATTCATATTTATTATGTATTATATTTAAAAATAAAACATTTAAATTATAAAAAGTTTGTTTATTACATTAAAAAAATTGTAATATTTCTCTCTATGCCACAGCGCTTTATTGTAAGGACATTATTGTAGCTCCATGAAAAAAGTTAATAATACAAAAACATATTCATTTATGTCATGTGGCGTGGTAGTAATGATTAACTACTAACTGCAGTCACTAACATATAAAATTTGAGAATTACCAATGATCGCTGACGGTCACATGGCAGTCAATGTGTTAAGGTATTAATACACTACCATGTTTGTGTAGTCCGTTTGGTTAACACACTAACACAATATACCAAATGGTTGAAGATATTCAACAATTTAATTGTGAGGTCATGTGTGTTATTGATGAATAGTAAAATTGATTTACATAAACAATATTATTTAATTTGGTGTTCTTGTATTACAAGAAAATTCTAAATGCAGTGATAGTGTAATAGTATATTTATTATATATTTTATTGCAATCATATTCTAAATTGATAAATGTTTGCAGTGGTTAGTGAAGCGGTCCATAGAAAAGAGAAAAGAAAGAGGTGAATTCTTGATGCTCTACGCTACTAATCAATTTGATAAGTTAATATGTTTTAAAAATGTCTCGGAAAGTAAACCTATACGCAAGGAAAAATGTCTCCATCTTAAAGTAAGTAGTATAAAAGATAATACATTGTGATGTAACTGATGAACAATATGAATAAATAAATAAACTTATGAACTTGAAGTAAAATCATTAAATGGCTCACTTTATTTATGTCATTCAGTTTTTTTTTTTATTGTTATCATAAACAGTGGCTTATATTGGAAGTATTTATTTCCATTGTGGGCCAATTTCATTTTTTAAGGGTTAGGAGTTAATAATTATGACACATGTTTTATACTCCTATGCAAACTTGAAATTCCACTTTTGTCCATTCCCAAGAGGCTTCTTTCCTCTTTATTAGCCACTAATCCCATTCAAAATTTAATTTTTGTTTTAATTTTTACAGTTAATACATTTTTTTATTTATTTTTAAAACAAAACCTTAAAAAAAATCTTATGAGCTTGAAATAGTAAATTTACCATCATAAAAAAAAGTATAATAAAACCACTTAACCCTAACTACGTAAACAAAAATCAAACTAAAAAGTATGTAATATGAATATTTTTTTCAGAAATGTTTGACTGGCAATAGGACAAATAAATCATTTCACAAAGAAGAGCTGAGAATAATGGAATGTATTGATGATATATCTGAACCTGAAGACACGGAAAGTTGTGAATGGTTTATTAAAAAGCCTTTTGATATCAATGACTTTATTGAGGTAATTAATGTTTGCATGTATACAATAATTTTTGTATTAATTTTTATCAATATTGTATTATTACTATTTAGACTGTAATGACAGATGAAGAGAAAATTGCAAAGTTAAAAGAAGAAAATCAAAAACTAGCTGAACAGCTAGCACAAGCTCAAGAAGAAACAATTAGTATTGAGAGTAAAATAGAAAAAATAACATTGCAGAATAACAACATGGACGATGATAGAAGGCGGTAAGGTATTATAGGAACATATGTGGTAGATATAAACATAAAATAGTTAATTATTGTGTAAACACAATCTGAACAGTAAATTTGTTTAATGTTTTTTATTATAACTTTTTTACAGAGAACACGAAAATATTAAAATTCTTTTAACTGAGTATGAAAGAGTGAAGGAAACTGAAGAAACATTCCAAAAAGAGTGTGAAATAAAAATGGAAGAGTACCAGCAAAAAATAAAGTATAGTCGATTTATTTATACACTAAATATTAAGAGGATGTTACCCATGCATTTGTTGTCTCTACCTTACACACATATTTCAAAGCAAATGTTCATTCACTAACCTATCAAATTTTTAAGCGGGATATGGTTTTCAATTTATGATATTTCACATACCCATTTAATGCTTGAAATTTTAAATGTCTAAAAAATCACCTACTCTTAAGCATAGACATGCTCCTTGAGCACAGTATTGAAATCGGTTGTGATTCTGTATATGTGCACAAGTGCACGTGCTCTACCTTTCCAAACTCAAAAAAAATATAATCATAAATCATAATAATACAACCAAGTACCTGTACTATTTCATTAAATGCATACGAACCTCCACTGATTGAAACTAGTGAATGAAAATTTCTTATGTGGTATGTGACGGAGACAACAAATGCATGGGTAGCATCCTCTTGATTGTTTGACGTTCGTGCAATTAGATGGATTTAATTCTTCCAACTAATTGTTACATACACTGTGTAATTTATTCCCATAGCAATTGGTTAATACACTTGATTGACTTGAAACTAGAATTATTTTTTACAACCATTTTTTGATAGGAAAGCAAGAGCATTGCTCGAAGAGCCTGTTGAAGACGATACAGAACTAAAAGAAGAATTAGACAATATTAGAAACATGGTAGAAGCAGCTAGAACGAAACTGAGTAAAAAAGCAAGAGCTGTGGGATTAATGAAACGAAAACTCGATCAAATACCCGACAGAGCTGAATTAGCCCAATACCAAAGACGATTTGTAGAGCTGTCCAATGAAGGTATGTTCTTGCATGTTCTGTTTGGTACTTGGTAATTTTTTTATATTGTCTTCGGGGTCTTATCTATAAGTATCATGTTTATTTAGTATCGGCCAGGTATCGAGAGACAAAACGGCATTACGCTCTCTATAACACCCTTAGTGATGTTCAAATGTACCTGAACAAAGAGCTATCACTATTGAGTTCAATTCTGGATGCTTATCCTGAGTATGTAGTCAATCAATCGTGTTATAGAATAATTTTTAAATATTTTAATAAACCTTTTGTATTTTAGGGCAGAAAAGTCACCAGAGTCAAGAGAACAGTTTTTGAGGCAGTTGGAAAACATAGATGTTAGCGTAAAACAAACTTTAGACAGGGTAAGTCTAGGGTAATCATTTTGTTTGACAGTGCAATTGGTTATGATGATTACATGATCACCTCTGTTTGTAGGTGGAAAGTAAAAGAAACAAAGAGCAAAGCATTAAGACTAATTTAAACAACCAGTTGTCCACTTGTATGTCAGCGCATCGGCAATATTTAGCTGCCGTAAAAGAGCTTGAGACTGAAGTACAAAAGAATCTCCAACTTCAAGAGCAAATTGATCAACTTTAAAATGTTAAAGAGTCAATCAATAAGCAATCATTAATAACTGTTTAAGTAGTACATTATACTCAAATTATTATTTATTTTTTTATTTATATATATTTTAATTATTAAAACAATAAAAATGTTTAAAATTGTTAATAAATATTAAATATTATTTTATGTATAACAAAATTTCTTAAATAACAAAAAAAAAAAAAAATGTGTAGTAACAAATCTATCGTATTTAAGTGTACCAATCTAAACAGCTATGGAGTAATCCGAATGCTTTTGTGGGTTGTTATTAGACACAGGTCTTGACCATAGTGTCGACTTTCCCAGGTTGAGTTTCTTTAAAGTGTCTGAGTTGTTGCTGTCAGTCTCTGCTCGGCGTGCACTAGTTGTGGGAAACAATGATGTGTTGGCCATCGAGGAAGACCTTTTAGATCTATTGGTCGGGAACCATCTGCGAAAATTTTTTAAAAATTTTGAATAATAGAGTAAACTTTTTTCTCCTAGAGGCACCGTATTTCACCTAGTCTGTGTTCGTCTCGGCAGTGATTTTTGTTCAGTTGGCGGTGGAGATAAGTCCGATGATGTGCTGGATTGTGCTCGGCTGTATATGAAACCTGAAAACAAATAACAATAGTACAATCAATTAAAGAACGGCAAAAAAATAAAAAAATAAAAAACAAGTGTTGACAAACACGAAACATTAGTAATTTAATAATATTGGCAATCAATTAAAGTAATATTGTAACGTGTTTGTCTGTTTAGCGATATCACTGTGGACACTCGCTTGTAAGTTTTGTTTTGTTCAGATGATTGGACGATTCAATCCTACTTGACGTCATATTCTGTTCGACATCCGAATCCGAATCATCCATATTGTGTGCGGAATGCTTTTCGTACAAATCTTGAGCCGATCTGTCGTGTCTGTTTTTGAACATCTGCAATTTTAAAAACTTAATAATAATGACACGTTGATATGTTTGGGTTTTTTTTGTCAAATGCTTGTAAAACAGTAATTTTTCAAGTTTTAAACTTTATTTTGAACTTAATAATCTAATAAAAAACTTCTGTAAACGTATTTAAATTTGATATGAAGTACAATTGAAAACTTCTCTTGTTTATTATAACCACAGGTTGAACTCTTAAAACTTCAAAAATTTGATTTTAAAATATTGATACTTTTACACAGTTAAAAAATAAATAATATTTACACAATATTTGAGATAACATAAGCACTAATATGAATTACATTTTGAAACATTTATTTTGAATTTTTTGATTTTGAGGTCTGTCTTTGTTCATTTCATCGATATATTCAACTATTTTGGTCCCATAAATGTATGTCATAATACAAATAATTAAAAATAGGTAGGTATAGTTTTTATTTTCAATGAAACTTGATAGAATAGAAAAGCATTTTTCGCAAGTTTTTTTGTGCATTTAATTCACAACCCTATTTACAGGATGATTTTTGAAGGACGCTCATCTTATTTTTAAGCTTAAATTATGCATGTATTAAAATTCAGATTTTTGGAATTTTTTTAATACACTTGAAGACCATTTTTCGAATCGTTGAAATTTTTTGTACCATTTAATGATGATCTTGTGACAATACAAACTTCAGTTTTTCAAATTGGAACCTCCCTTTTTCATTTTTAATTATTAAGCAGGTAATTTTTTGAGAATTTATATGTATCTAAATCAAAATTCAATCTATTAGTTTTTGAGTTATGTAACTTTGTGTTTTAAGGATAATATGTCTATGGAAATAGTTTAAGTAGATAGGGGGCTTAAACTATTTGATAAAGTTAGCAATTAGGTACTATTGATTTATCAATATAAATAGTTTGCGAAAATGATCTAAGAATAATAAATAGGTACTACATCTGACATTACATATAGTTTTTATTTTTAAGGATTACTTACTATCTTTGTTATAAACATTTTAATAACCACTCATTAGAATTATGATTTAGACACATCAAAGTTTTCAAAAAAATCATTCGCTTATAATTTTCAGTCAAAAAGAGGGGGTTCTCAATTGAAAAATGGAAGATTGCATCGCCACAGGATACTCCTTAAGTAGGTAGTCCAAAAAGTATCGAACATTTGAAAATATGGTCTTTAGGTAAGATTAAAAATTCTAAAAATCAGAATTAGAATAAACGTACCTACTACTGAAGGGAAAAATGGGGGTGAGCATGCTTAATAAAAATCACCCTTTATATTAACTATAATGCTGCCGATTGTCCTCCGAGTTACGTACCTTTGGCGGGTGCGAGGGGGGTGCATAATTTTCGTGGACGGATTGCTGCCGGAGAGTGAGGTTGTGCAGCATTGGCATTGACCCGCGCTGTGTCTCGTCCACCGGAAATGTGGCGTACGGCGATATGTCGGCCGACGTCTCTGTTATTATCACATTGTAATTTTATTAAAAATATCGTAAAAACGGTTTAAAAACCAGCCGGCACACCACTAGGGCGACACCCGTGGATTTGCTTACATTTACCCTCCTTTTTGGCGACTCGTTTGAGTCCCAATGCTCACCCGTGTCAATTTTGCGCACGCGAATTTTCAATAGGTGCCAGCGATAAATGAGCCGAACGTAGGACTCGTTTGCGTTCACAAACTGGTATACCAAAAGTCTACCAAAACCCAAAAGTGCTTAAAAAATAATGTTTAAAAGACCGTTTTGGTAACAAAATTCGATATTTTAATTTCGATAAGCCTCGTTAGTATGTAGTAGAAACAAGATTTTTTCATTAAAATTAACTTAAGAAGTTCCTCTAGACAATTACGTGTCAGATTTTTTTTTCAAACCTATAATTTTTGCATTTGAAATCTTCAAAAATTCAAATAAAATAGACAATAATTATAGCGTACAATATTAAATCTCATTCCTAATTTAGACTAGTACTACCTATAGTAATTTGTAACTTTCAGTACCTAATAATGATAAGATTTATCTTAAGAGGATTTTATAATCGCACGTGTTGTCTCCGTCTCACAAAGCAATTAGCAAAAACCGTTGAAAAGAAAAACAACCTTGCACAGTAAATGTCCCCCTCTTAACAGCGTGTAAATTTATCTATAGTAGTGCAGCTTCCGACAGCAATGAATTAAAGATTCCCTATTGTACATACGACGGTTGACATCTCACTTACCAGGAATTTTTTCGGAATTGGACAGTCCCACTTTGTGGATGGTCGCGTAATATTTCTGATTTTCCGCACTCCTCCTGTCCCGCGTGTCTGTGGCACTCTGCGCAGGAACGCTATTCCGTTCTGAAACACATATTAGTGTGTCAAGTGTCAACGTAAATATAAGAGGATATAATGTCCAACCAAGATAACACAGGGACTGCCGTGACACGATTGATATTTTATCATGAATCCAGGCTTTATAACTTCTGTAGTTCGTTAACTATCTAATCAATATAACATGATTTAACGATAGTTTTATTGACTATGGAAATAGGAGACTTAGATGTTTATGCTTATTTAAAAATAACCCATCGAGTTATAGAATTTAAAATGTTTTTAAAATTATTGATATTGATGATATTATACAATAATTTGGTACCTACTGTGTACATGGTTTAAAAAAAAAAAATACCATTACCATAACAATTAATACCTACTATGTATAATTTCTGAGATATTTCCTTATAACATAATGTTTATAGATTATATTATATCTGGTATAGATAGGAAGGCGCAAAATATTATTTTAGTTATTCACGTACTAATTAACAAAGGAGATAAACTTTCTTAAATTTAGTTAATATTTTTTCCATACTATAAAATGTATTGATATAATATTATGTAGGTAGATTAGGTACTTGTATACAATGCATATTTACAAAATGCATTGTAAACCTGTAGGTAAAGTTAGGTTAGGTTTCGTTTTGTTTTATTGAAATTTAATTGTATTTGATGATTATTTCAAGTACTTAAAAAAATTATTTGAGTATTACTCAAATATAAATATAGTATTTTAAAAGTATATTCTACATCATTAAATATTGAAGGGATGGTCGTATTATTTCAATAATAATATGATTATCGTCTAGCGATATCGACAGACATGACAAAAAATATACAATTGAAAGTGATTCGTTAATCACGTACTTCTTTTTAAGCAGACAAAAGCTGTGCAAACGACCGCCAGAACGGCGACGAACGTGCCCAATACTGGAATAGCCATTTTCATGTCCATGTAGTAAAACGGACGAGATATTTGACTCTTCTCGACCAGCTCTGGTGGAGGCTCTTCTGCAAAACGGACGGACAAAAACGGTTGAATGGAGTTAAAAGAACGACAAACGATTCGCCGAAATATCGGGCGAAGGCCTCACCTCCGTCTTCGGTCAGCGTGAAAAAGTAATAGTCCGCCAGCGTCGACCCTGCGGCGTTGTGGCCCTCGACTTGCAACTGGTACTCTGTGGCGGGCATCAACCCGGTTATCGTGAATTTCCTCTGGTTTCTCAGGTTATCGGCGGCTGAAACGGTTATTACAAATGTTTATGTAATATTATTATAACAGTTAAAAAATGTTATCCCGCAACGACAGCGCGAATTATATTCGTACACAAAAACATAAGTTTATACTTGATAAAGGCAAAAATGATATGATAATAATTCTGATAAAATATAATCAAGTGAATACCTGACTAAATAGGGGACAATTTAAAGGAATTCGAGATGAGGTCTTCTTTTGATCTAATTTCAACAGTCGGCGAAGAGAGAAGTTAATAATTATTTAAATGAGAAATTAATTAATACGGGGGGGGGGGGGTTAATCGAGTATGATGTGGAGGAACCTTAAAATTGGGTTCCATAACATTTTTAAGAGAGATGATAATAAAGCGATGGAACTCATTCGATCAGCAAAGATACCAAAATCATATTAAGAGATTTAGGGATTAGTCTGCATGTGGAGCACAAGGTAAGTTTAATTAAATGGGCGGCAAAGCGTATAGGAATCGGTGATGGACTCTCTCTCGATTGCTAAAGAATCATTAGTAGCTTATGAGGGATTCCATTGTCGCATGTATACTAGGTTATAACTTATAACATATGATAATATTTTGGTGGTATACACTCACTTGTGGTCCAGTGTGGTTGCAGCATCGGTCGGTGTCTGACGACAAACCTGTCGATCGGGCAGTCGTTGTCTGGCCAAGCTTCCAGGTTCAGGCGCAGGTACGTGGAGTTGGGCTTCAGGAACAGCGATTTTTTTGGCACCCCGGGCCTGCCGCCTTTC